AAAAAAAAAAAAAAAAAAAAAAAAAAATGAAAAAAAATTTGCACTTATGAATAAGAAATTAGATGATAAAAGAGTTGATAAAATGGTACTTATTGGAGATAAGTAAGCTGATAAATATTATCAGCATTTGATTAATGTCGTTCAGTTGGAAGCAAATGAATTGAAGAAATAATATTAAGCATTCAAAACGATGGATAACTTTACTGGAAAATTGGACGACTACTGAATCTTCAAAAATTTACTACTGATTTGTAACAGACATAAAACTGATGACAATTTTTATTTCTTCTTTTATATTTTACAGTTATTCAAATCAGATATCTCTGAAAAAATGAAACAGGTCTTTTTAATAACATAGGCAGCTCAAAAAAAAAAAAGCGATGAGAAGAAATTGCGTAATATTTATGTGTCAGTGGTATAAACTTTTTATATGAAAGGCTATCATCAAAATATTGGTTATGGAAAACTTTTCTTTGTTTGTGATCTTTTGAACTTTCGTCTTCATTTATCATTCGGTCTTTATTTCAGCTTTTACAATCTATCAACTAATAAAAACTGTAAAAGGTTGAGTATTAAGTTCGGTATTTATTACCAGCAAAAAAAAAAAAAAAAAAAAAAGGAGAAAGAAGAACTTTGTCGGTAGTCGTATCAAAACGTTTTAGCCAACAACAATCAGTGTCATATTGTAGTCATTTTGCACCAACTTAGGCTATTGTTTAAATTTTTTCCCACTCTAAGATTCAGAAACCTTCAATAAAAACCTGCTGAAACTGTAAGAAGTTTGATGCTAAAGTTTGAAAAATTATTATGTTTCATAATTGGCTGCTTTCTTTTCCGTTTGTTAGTATTTTTTGCTACTAATTTCGAAAAATAATTTATGACTTATAATATTTTGGTTATTTAACTGTTTATTCACTTTTTGCTTTTTTGGATAGGAACAGTGTTTCTGTGATATAAAAAGTCTTTTCACCCCCACATTTGTCCTTTGATGACGAAGAATTAACGATTCAAAAAAAAAAAAATCCTCTTGAGTAAAAAATTGATTAGATGAGGTGGGATTATGGCCAAGAAAAAAAAGCCGAACGAAGAGGCAACAAATGAGTGAGAAAAGAAAAAAACTGAAACTTTTTATTCAAAGTTATCAGCACAATCTTTTTTATTA